ATCGAGAGTTCGCAATGCGTGCTGCAGCTTCGAAGATGTGTTTCTATGCCACACTTGGGGATGGGGTGGTAGAGCACATGCTTAGCATGGTGGAGGCCCCGGGTTCCACTCTGGGAACGCAAAGCAAATTTAAACAAAATTTAAAACTAAGTTCATCTGCACCAGCCACATTTCAAATGCTCAGAATAGAACTGTCACGTTTGGCACCCAGTGAAAACTCAGTAGCTCCTCACAAGGGCCTTATCTCTTGTCCACTACTGAAGCAAGTCACATCCGGTGGGCTTCATTCCTCCCACTCTCCCAGTCCCTCCGTGCCTTATCTCTGGTGCAGAACAGTCAGGATGTGCGGCAGCCAGGCATTAGGAAAACAGCAAGGCCGCTGAGAATCCCAGCAGTCTCCAGCAGACTCAGGATTTCCGGTCTTCTCTGGGCTCAGCTGCACGGGCCCAGGGCTGCTATTTTGTTGAGTGTGCCCACTTGCACACTCATCAAAAGCTCCTTTTGTACCCTCTTCCTCCACTCCTGCCACTGTTATTTTTTGTTGTTTTGAGACAGGGTCTCACTATGTAGTTCTGGCTGAAAAATTAGCCCAGAAAGCCCCATGAGGGGTCTGTGGTAGAGCGTCTGCCTGGCATGGAGAGGTCCTAAGCCTGACCACTAGCATGCAAGACACACCCAAAAAACAAAACCCCTCTTCCAAGAGTGAGATAGGTACCAGCTGGAAAACTCTGGAAATGACCCAAACATACCCTGAATCATTTTCTGTAAACTGCACATGCACAGAGTGGAAAGCTATCTGGAAACAGAGATAAAATATGGGACTTTGTACTTTATTTTTTAATGCCAGGAATTGAACTCAGGGCCTCGAGCTTGCCAGGCAGATGCTACGCCGCTGTTACATCCCTGGCCCTCTACTATATTAGCATGCTGTCTGAACCTCTTGCCAATATGCATTACCTGGCTTTTTGGGGGGTGGGGGTACCAGGGATCGAACTTGGGACCTTGCGCTTGCAAGGCAGGCTATAGAACCAGTGAGCTAAATCCCCAGGCCCTTGTTTGGTTTTTTGAGACAGGATCTCACTATGTATCCCAGGCTAGCCTTGAACTGGAAGTGATCCTCCTGCTTCAGCCTCCCAAGTACTGGGATTACAGGTGTCACTAGACCTGGCAAATATTACTTTATAGCTGAAGATTAAAAACAAAAAAAAAAAGGCAACAAAATTCCCAAAATGGAATCCTTTTGGGTAGTCCAGCCTAAGTAGCATGAACACAGACTGCATGTGGAGGGCTGTGTGGACAGGGGAACCCCCACCCTGGACCTCAGCCAGCTGCTGCAGCTCCACTGCCCAGCTGTGTTCAGCCCCTTCCAGGTCTGTCACACGGGTGACTGTAAGTCCCCAGTGCCTCACAACTGAACAGATGGCCTGGGCACCACCTAGAACCAGAGGGATCGGTGGCAGGCACTGCTCTTGGTGGCACCAGCCTGGTCTGCCACCTGTGGGAGGTTAGCGGTGCCTTGTGCTCACTTCCTCCCCTGCTGAGAACACAGAACTGCCTTCCATGCACAGCCCAAAGCCAAGGTAAATGCAGAGGGAGACGGCTCTCTGGACCAGGGTGTTTACAAGTGTTTTTCTCTAGGGGAAGTCTAGCCTGTCCATGTAGCTACACTGGCTTGGACTCCCAAGGTGCCATTTGTAGAGCACCTGCCTGCCCACCCAGTCCATTCTCTCAGCCAGGACCCTTGGGAAGGTGCCATAGCTGTGCAGCCAGGGTCAGTCTCTCAAGGCAATACCTGACCTAAAAGCACTTTGTGCCAGACAGAACCACCAAAGCGTCCTCCCACACAGCTCCACATGGCCAAGTCCAGCCTGCTGGGCAGGACAGCCTTGTGAGGACTAACTCACTGGCTGTCCAGGAAGGCCCTGGGCTGCTGGCTTCCCTATCAAGCCTGAGCAGACATAGTACCAGTGTTGCCTGCACATCCCAGGTACTGGTAGCCTCCATTCTGCTGGGAGTACCCCCAGCTTTTGTCACAGGTAAAGTTAAGGGCCATAGACCTGCCTGAAATGCCTCACAAACCAGCTACAGCCAAACAGGGATCACAGTAAAGAGGGAGAGGCCCCAGGCACACTGCAGCAGCATCAGGCTGCAGTCCCAGCCCCTACCTCCCCCAGCATGGATCTGACCAGAAAAGTCCCCAAGGCCCAGCAGCACACTGAGCCAGATTCTGGCAGTGGGTGCTCCCAGGTGGCCCAGCATCTCCCAACACACCCATCACCCACCCAAATGTATGACTGTGGCTACACCACTACAACAGCATGGAACAACTGCAAGGAGTTGTAGCAGCTAAGCCCCCACCCACACATTTTGTGCTCCATGTTTCCTGTACCCGTGCTGTGGAGGCAGAAGACCCCAGTGGCAGAGCTGAAATCACAGCCACTCGTAACCAGCCACGGAGGCCAGATGAACCCCAGCTAATGGAAATGCTCCTACAGTGTTCTAGCTGCAGTTTCTGTGCCCTCACCCAGAGACTGGTTATAATAGGAGGCTAATGGTGGCAGCGGATGACAATCTTACCAAGTACAGAGGTGAAGTGTCAGTGGAGATGCCTGGGCAGAAGACTCTAGCTCAGGGGTCCACCAGTCAGCCCAAAAGGAAAAGCAGCCTACACCAAGCTGAGGGCAAACAGACCCAGATGCGAGTCCTCCCAGGGTCTGGACTCAGAAGTAAGAGTACATCCTGGCAAGTGGGGAGCCCTGGGCCCATTCCCTGATAGCACCTACCCCACCTCAAGAGAAATGGTCAATAGCTATCAAAAGTGGTAGCATCAGAATGACACCAAAGCCCACTTGCCAAGGCCAAGCCCACCTCAGCTGCAACTGCTTGTGCTCCTGGGACACACAGCCTTGTCACAAAATCACTCAGCAGCAGCATGATTTACTATTTTATTTTGCATTTTATAAAAACAGGAGCCCAGACACATACCCTGCCACCAGGTAGGGGCTCACATTGTTCCTGGGCAGACCTGGTCACCCTGTTTGCATGGAGCCCCAGACACCTCTCCCTTTGCATATTTACAGCTGGGTACAAAGCAGGGCTGTGAAGGGCACATGAAGGTGCAGATCTTCCTGCCCATCAGCACAACACCCGAGGTGACAGGAGAGCCACGGAGAAGCAGGGAGTGGCAAATGCCCTAACACATCCTGCTGTATGGAATGTGTCGCCTGCAGTAAGAAGAGCTGCACCTGGCTGGGGACCATGCCTGCCTGTCCACAGGCTCCTCTCTCCTTGGTGACAGGAGAATCCTGTGCTCGGGTGCTGCCACACTGAGGTATTAAATGTAGAAGGAAAAGATTAGTCATGTCCAAGTAGCATGCGATAAAAATGTTTAAACCAACATGGTTAAGTGTTAAGATTTTTAGAAATCAAAATATTTATTCACATAATTGTAAGCTAAAGTCAAAGCTAATCATTTCCTACGGCAATGATTGAAGTGCAAGTGATGCTGGCTTCACATTTGTTTTCTTCCTTCAGGGCAAGCAAAGGCTGGTGTCAAATCAGTTGTTCTTGAACAAGTCAATGCAGCTCTGTAGAAGGGAGATGTTGTTCTGGAAAAGGAAACCATGCCAAGGTCAAGCCAGACTAGTGATTCCTTTGAGAACCCAAGAACTGCTGTGACACACCCAAGAATGAAGAGCCAGGCGTAGTGGCGCACACCTTAACCTCAACTCTTGGGAGGCTGGGGCAGAAGGACCAAGAGTGTGAGGCCAGCCTGGTGGCCTAGTGAGGCTCTATCTATGGCAGAATGGACCAAGGGCTGAGGGTGTGCACCAGCGGACGACACTGGCCCAGCACAAGGCCCCAGTTCCATGCCCAGTACTGCCCATCCTATTATAGGTGAGATTATAGATAAAGTTACAAGTTATAATTCTAATGGCTGCAAAACTTGTGTTACTGAGTTCTTATTTTAAAGGCGTTTCATAAACAAATGAGAAGGGGATGTAAAAAGGAAGATGTGTTAGGTATATGTGCCAATAAAAACATTACCCCAGGCATGATTTATGTATGTGACACTTTAAAGCTCTAACCTAAAGTTGACCCAAGAAATAAGAAACCAAGGGAGCGGGCCAGGGATTTAGCTCAGTGGTTCTGCTGTCTGCCTTGCAAGCACAAGGACTCAAGTTCGATCCCCGGTACCAAAAAAAAAAGAGACAATGAAACCAAGGGAGTGAACACATCCACACGGTCAGGTGCACACCCTACCAAGCCTTGCGCCAACCAAATCAAAGCAGACACTGCGAATTCCTCGCTCCAGGCTGACCTAGAAGCTGGACTGACAGCAGCCTGGAGGAAGGGGAGCACAGTGCTCTCCAGGAGGCTGAGGAATACCGCACCCCAAATTCCTCATCACCCCAGTGGATCTGCCAGGCACTCTCCCACTCCTATGCTCAATCAAGCTAATAGGGGTTAAATACACACTAGAGGATGGAAGCTTTGCTTCCTCTTGAACTAAAAAGGAGTACTGGTGCACAGTGGGTGAAGAGAACAATTTCTTTTTAAAAAGCACTCCATGCAAAGCCAAGGCACTGCAGACATGACTCCTTTCTGTCGGGGAGGGGACTGCTCCCCTCAAGAAGGCTCTTCCCCAAGCCATTTTAGGGTCCTGGGGGTTCAGCTTGCTGCAGCTATATTACCACAAAGTCCACCACAGGAGACACCAAAGACACAAGGCCAGGGCCCGACCTCCGTGTGCAGCAGTACTTACTCTGGCATGCTTTATTTCCAGTTCCGACATCTCGATCAGATTCTTCCTAAACGCTGCCACTCTCTTCCGTTTGAAATTCACCAGTTCTGCAGAAAGAAAAAGGTCAATGCTTACCAGCTAAGCCAAGCTCAATTTCCATTCACTGGGGCCTGTACACCTTTCTTTTCTGGCCACACTAGGGATAGAATCCAGAGCCCCACACACGTCAAGGCAAGCACTCTGTGCAGGGCTACCTCTTCAGCAGTAAGAGTGGTGGCATTTGACCACCGTTGGTTTGGTTCTGAATAGGAGGGAAGCCAGGCACCTGACTGAGCAGTCACATCTCACCAAGATTGGGTGAGGACTACAAGGGTACACACAACCTACAAACCATGTACAGGGAAACAGCCCACCAAAACCCAAAGACCATCCACTTGTGAAAGAGATGACCTTTGGAAAGGTCAACACTGCTAAGATAAATAAATACTATTCTAGGGCAAAGGAGGCCAGCAGCTAAGATGACCAGACATGAAACTTGAGAAAGATTTCTGAGATGGAGACTGGATACACAGCTGAATCCCACCCATGTGGTCCAGAAAAACCAGGCATGTGCACTCATGAACACTGACAAAGACAGGGACAGGTGCTTCTGTACTTGTGTGCATCATCCCTCTGAAAGTCTGAAAGGATCTCCAAACCCAACACAAAGCCTGAAGAGCTCACCTTCTTTCGCAGACTCCGAGAGCTGCTCGAATTTCTGGCAGCACTCCTGCTGGTGGGCCTCGGCCACCTTCACATCTCTGCTCTTCAGCCGGGCCTTGTCCAGAGCCTTGTTTGAGTTCTCGTAGTCAATGAGGGCTTTGGTGCGTCTGTATAGGAGGTCCTATAAGGAAAGAGGCAGTGACCGCATAAAACCCTCTGAGGAACAAAACAGGAGCAGCAGATGGCTACCAGCCCAGAGGTCAACACAGCGCCCATGCACTGCTGGAACACAATGTGTGAGAATCTCATCTTCCTTCACACATGGATTTAGAGAAGGGATGCACAACACCTGAGAACTGTTTCAGAGCTCTATGTGCAGATTAGGTGAGAAAGCCTAGAGTAAAGAAAACACCCAGTTGCAGCTTGGTAAGTCAACGGGATGAGAAATATACAGCCCGCCCTTTAGCCCTGCTTCTGGGAATCCACACTCCGGTCCCACCTGGCGTGAATAGATTCCCTGCAATCTTACAGCAAAGCAGAGGTTCCCACAGCATCTAAAACAGGCAGTGATATGTCATGCTTAAAATGGATTGTGCGGTATCTATAAATATTTAAGACTGGCAAAGAATTGTTGGAGCTCATTGAAATTATTTTATGTACCTTTATGTACATATAAAAAATATTAAGCTCTTATCTTGAGAAACTAGAAGACACACTATAAAGAGTAGTCTAAACCTCCCGGATGACACTAAGCAATGTGTTGAATGAAAGGCTCGCTCTGGGCAGTTTGGACAGTGAGGCATATACGCTACTTACACAAACAGGTCTGAGAAGTCCCAGAACCTCCTGTGGTGCTGAGATTCCCATCCTGTGGGCCCTCCCGCCTCACCTTGGCAGCCTCAATGTTGAGCATGTAGTACCGGAGCAGCTCCGTCAGCTTTAAGTCTTCATCCGATGAGACACGACCCTCCACTTTCTGGTTAAAAAAAGGAAAGGTTACTATCATGGCAAGGCAGGTATCTACAAATTATTAAATTCACATCAAGAACGCAAAAATCTTACCCGAAGTTTTTCAAATAGCTCAGCAACCTTCAATAGGTACCTGAAAATGTACACAAGACAAAGTTGCCATTTGAAGTCCTAAATTGTCTGTCTTATGATCTTATCAATATTCTAACATGTGACTGTCTCCCACTAGAAATACCCAGGATGGAGAAACTGTGAAGAACTTATTATCTGTCTAAAGGTCAGTTGCATAACCAAATCCCTTTAAGAAAGTGAAGGCACATCACCAAGCCAAATGGTGAGAACCAAATGCCTGAGGACCTAAGCCTCTCAAAGGCAACCAACCACAAGATCACTGTACCTGAGAAGAGACATTCAGTGACAGGACGAAAGGCTTAAATGCTTCCCCACTCACTCACTTCTTGATGACAGTGGGTTCCTCCAAGGCCAGGCTCTGCAGGCAGGCTGCCGTGTGGATGTAGTCATCGGCAACATCTGCAGAGACAAGCACAGACCTTTAGTGGAGTGGAGCAGGAAGAGGGCAGAGCTCCAACAGTCATGAGCAGAGAGCACTTACTTTTATGTGACCGGGTCATCCTGTCAGCTTTGCCACAGGAGTCCTTGATTTTGTTGTAGTAGTTAACCAGGAAGTTCTTTTCCTGCTCAAAGAAGTCATCCACCTCCTAAAGAGGAAGGAAAAAGAAACACAAGCAGAAATCCCAAGAACATGGGGACATGTTTTGTATTAGAATAAACCCTATAGCAGGAACTCTACTCAGAATGTATGCCTCTACAGATCGGGACTTCCAAAATCTAAATGATACTATATGACATATAGGATTGGCAAAGCCAGGTGCTGACAGGAAACATCAACAGACAGAGGAACCATTCTAAAGAGAGTATTTGCCAGTCCAGTAATGCTGGTGCCAAGACCCAGAGTCTATTCTGGGGTAGTGGTCCTGCAGGTAGGAAGAACATGGCCCAGTCGTGGTTGTTCATCCACATGTAGGTGGATTTGTTAGCTTTTAACCTGGCTCACTTCAGACCCAGGCAACCCCGCTCATCTGGCAGGTTTGGTGAGAGGCCAACCATCCCCCAGTGAATAGACACAGGGTGTCTATGACCTTGAACTGTGCCAGTTTCCAAACCTCTGCTGTTGCCCGCCCTGCACAGGCCTGGACAGGCAAAGCCTGACCAGAGAGCAACTGTGAAGGCCACTCAGCTGCAAGGTGGGCAAGGATGAGAAGGAGTACATTACAGCTAGAAGCACTGCCCAAAAGGAACAGGTGAGGTTAAATTAATGTTGGTATTTCATTTAAGTTTATCTAAAATATAATTTCAGGTAAACATTAATGAGACACTATGTTTTTTTTTTCTTTGTATCAAATCCTTAAAATCCAGTACACAGGGCTGGGGCTTTAGCTCAGTGGTTCTGCTGCCTGCCTCACAAGCGCAGGGTACCGAGTTTGATCACTGGTATTAAAAAAAAGTCCAGTGCATAAATAAAACTGAAAATGTGGTCTAAACAGTGTCAACACCAGCCACTAGGGAATGGCACATAAGACTGATCTTTCACCTCATTCTTTATTTTTTATTGGTATCGGAGATCGAACTCAGAACATTATGCTTATAAAACAGACACAGTGCTACTGAGTTAAATCCCCAGCCCTTCATTTCACTTTTTAAAAATGTGCAACCTCTGTCCTTATAGAGAAGGAGAAAGATTCGAGTGGCAAGGATCATCTCAGTACTCCTGAGAGGGCAAGGCTGTTTGGGGAAAGTGAAAGCTAAGTGGATGAGAACAGCCTGTGACAGCTCAGCTCAGGTGGCCCCAAAAGGCCCATTTGCCTGCACCTTCCTCCAGCCACCCTGGGAGCGGAGACCCTAAAACTGAGTCAAGGTAACCTCCCCTCCTCTATGCCTGGGTGTCTGGGTTGCGTCCTGCAACCAAGGTAGCCATTTCTGAAAGTTAACGTGGACTGTGTGTCGTCACTAGAGCTGGATGGCCACTTATTCCCATCAATCAAGAATCTTCTCCCCCAGGCCAAAGCCCCTTACCTTAACTCCAGAAAAGAGAACTTCATCAGCGCTCTTCACCACACTCTTAAAAAACCCACCAAACATTTCTTTGGTGTTTTTCCGTCTGACACTTAGCTATGAAAGGAAATTCCAAAAGACCAGTTAACCTTACATGCTTTTTCCTAAGATACCACACAGGTCTCGGTATCATTCCCAGTGACTCTTACAAAACAGCTGCAGAGAGCCAGCTCGGACTCTGCCTAACACCAAGTCAACATACCTAACAAGAGACCAACCTCACACAGGCCCTCTCCTGAAAGGCTAACAGGATCTGGACAGTTGTGCAGGCACCAATGCTTACAGTTTCTTGGTCCTCGGCAATATCATCATGCTGCTGTAGCTTATGCTGTTTATTAGGCTTTCAGTGTCAGGAAACACTGAGGAAATGTCCAAACCAGGGCTCATCTCACACATATTATGTAGCAGTGACTACTACACTGAAAACCAAAACAGGCTTAAATGTGTATGTCACTGCTCAAGTTCCTCCTCAGTTTCAAATATACATCGAGGGAACAGCCAGTCTTTGAAAGAGGGAAAATGCCACAATTAAGGCAGTTTTATAAAACTGCCTTTGTAATGGATCTCCAGGGAAGGCCGCCATCTAATTTGCCCATTGCATCTGTGTTGGTAAGAAACTCAAAAAAGTTTAACAGTCAATTTTTCAGTTGCCCAGGCTAGGCTGAAACATGCCATCCTCTTGCCTCAGCCAGAGTAGCTGTGCTGACAAGCATGTGCCACCTCACAGCTAAAGCCTATTTTTATTTTAAAGCCCAATCACACATTTTAACTCAAAGGACCATGGAAATAGAATAAAATTGCCTTACATCCTGATCATATTCCAAGAAAACATGGAAGTTGCGGTCTTTACTGAGAACAGGGTGAGAAGAGAGCCGCTGAAGAAAGACTTCGTGGGAGGACACAGTCTTCTTAAAGACAGCGAGGTACTCCCTGCAAAGAACCACACAGGACCAGCTGGCACGGCTCACCACGGAACCAGCACCACTCACTCCCTGGCAACGAGACTGGTTCAGCTCACCTTTCTGCAGAGATACCATGACTAAGCCACAGCATTATTTTGGTATAACTCAGTGTCCAGTCAAGGACTAAATTCAGGTATCCATGTATCATGGCTTACATCTGGATGCCCCCACAAAGCCTCATGAGGTCATAGGCGGGGCTTTTTCGGAGGTGGCTGGATCAAGGGCACTAGGATTAAAGATGAGTGCTTCTTGCCCTACATAATCTGGACAACATGTAAGGGACAGAAGAGCTGCAGTCCTCCCTGAATGCTTTGCCACCTTCTGACTGCCAAACTGTTTCTCCTCTCTGATGCGTATCTGCCAACCACCCTGCCTTAGAGCCAGGTGATTACAGACTAAAACCTCTACAAACAGTGAGCTAAATAAACCTTTTCTCTCTTAACTTGTGGGTATCAGGTATTTTGCCTCCACAATTAGAAAGTAACCCAGACACTGTGGAATGAACCAGTGGGGAGGAAGTGAAGGTGGATGGGCTCAGCCTTGGAGCCCCTAAACCTACATCCAACTGCCACAGCAGTGGGTGTAGCACACTGGTCCAGAGGCAGGAGCCCAGACATGCTGGGCAGCATGGGCCCAGGCAAGATCAGGAGGAGCTGCAGAGATGGCGCCCAAGGCCCACGAGCCCTTCTGGGCCAAGAGGAAGGGGCAAGCCCTGACCCTCAAGCCTATCTCGTAACTGTTAAGTGAAAGACTCGGAATACAAGATTTTCCTCCTAACCTTTCATATATTTAAATGGCATTATATGTAGTTTTAGAGTTCACATTTTATTTGTTTGGTTTTCATTCTAAAACCCAATACTCAAGAATGCAACTCTACAACTATGACAGAGTAAAGAATCCATCTTTGCTCAAAAATTACAACCATCTTAGAACGTGCTGCCTGTGAGCCTGGCCCTTCCTACAAACCATTAGAAAAGTTACTTGGACCATTCTAACAGCACTCACTGCAATCTAGTTTCTCCTGTATCTCTGGTAATCAAATTTCAGGGGAAAATAATCTTGGTATCACCAGCCTGAAAGTGTATAAAGAGTGAGGTGTGGTAGTGCATGTCCATAATCCTAGCACTCAGAAGGCTGAAGGAGGAGGACTGCCAAGAATTTGAGGCCAGGGCGATACCTCATGGCTGTAATCCCAGCACTTGGGAAGCTGAGTAGGAGGACTGCTGTGAGTTTGAGGACATCCCCAAACAATGAGACTTCATCTCAAAAAACAAAACAAAACTGCTGGGGATTGAGCTTAATGGTGCCTCCGCCTGCCTCAAAAGCACAAGGTCCTGAGTTCAATCCCCAGTACTTCCCCCAAAATCAAAAAAGAAAACAGCAGCAGGCAATTAAGAGCTATGCTACAACAAAATAAAAACCTAACAACCTAGCTTTAGATTCTTCTCTCAGATGTACAGAATTTTGCTACCTCTTAAAGATGCAGCCAGTTAAGAGCACACTTACGCCTCCAGCTCCTGCTTCATCTTGCCGAATTCCTCTTTGGTCATGGACCCTTCCCCCTCTCCCAGCTTCTGCATCTTCTCACGGGGGCCGTCAAAGTCTGGCTTCGTAGGAGCAGGAGGGATCTGCAGCAGGGATGGGGACCCATGAGCACTGTGTGAGCAGCACTACACTGGCCTCACTCATGCCCATCACTGAGCTGTCCCACTCAAACCTTACTCCTGAGGGAAGGAGCATTCTCCACAGCTGTGTATTCAACTACAGACTATGGCAGAGCACCAGTTTCCAAACGGCTTCAGTATCAGTTTAAAATTATGTAGTATAATTGGTGCCAAGAAGCTATGGCTAACCAAGATTAAGTTTGCAGACATCAAAAAGAATCTAATTCCAGAAGATAATCAAGAGTGTCATTTGGAACAAAAGGGACTTTTCCACACAAGTGTTAAGTACTACTTTGGTCCAATAACTCATTTTCATTAAGAAACCAGCATTTAATAGATTCTCCAGTCTTCCAGCAGCACTAGGTTCCCATCGGAAATCACCCAAGGCCCTGTTCCTGAAGGCAAGGATCGATCAAGTGCCCCCTTCACTCTGTGGCGCTAGAGAAATCTTACTGCACACTGTCAGCAACACAAAGATTTCCTAGAAACCAACTGTACTGAGGTCTGAAAAAAAAGAGCAAAACCAAACCTGAAGGCAGATAAGATTTGAATCAGAAACTGTCTACCTTCTCACAGCGTACAATATGTGAACTTCATGTCATTCTCCACGCACTTCAGACTTTACCCATGAGGGAGAAAGCAAACACTCTACACGGATGAAGGCAAACTTCCTAACACATTATAGAAAGTACGTAGAAGTCTTTGGAAACAAAGTGAATAAATAGTAAGGTAGAAAAAAACAGCCTCCTTATTGTCCTTTCCAAAGTGTACTCACAATAAGCCCAGCGTAGTCTGTAGTTTCAGTAAGAGTGTCATGTAGCCACACAAAGTCCTCATGTTGCCTCGTGACAGAAAACTCTGGACTCTGGAACACGGGCAGTGTGGTCTGTGAAGACAAGGGAGACATGGACTGCTAAGAATCACCCAATGGGGCTTCTTGGATGGTACTACAGGAAAAAACTGCATAAAACATCAATGAGAGCCAATAAACGACTAAGCACCCACTACTCGAGAGTCCAAGGTCAGCCTGGGCTACATAGCAAACGACGTCAGTGAGACCCTGTCTCAAAACAAACAAGCAAGCAAGCAGTACTACGGTACCTCCCCACCAAGGAAGTTAGTAGCCAGGACTCAAAAGTGATTGTTAAGGAGATGTGTATATGAAGTCTCTCCTTTCAGAAGCTTGCTGGGAGCATTCAACCAGAGACAAGAATCTACCAGTAAAAGAAAAAGCCCCAGGAAGTTAAAGTCAAAGGTGAAGGACTCAGCCTGGGCCCCAGGGGCAAGAGCTGCCCCCACAGGCTTGTCTAATGCTCACCTAGCAGCCTGCACACTGCTGACAGCACAGCACCTTCTCAGATGGAGGAATCTCTTCCCACATCCACATGGAAAACAGGGCGGCCACTCACCTTGGTGTGCACTGTGAACTTCACTTTGTCCCTCTCACTTAGCGCATCAGGTATGTCTATTTGCAGCGAAGGATCGATATTCAGGTCCACAGATACAGATCTCAGCTGAAAGGGTTTTTCAATTATTAGTCTCAGATCCATTTTAGTCCTAGAAAGTATCCTTCCAAAGCATGAGACAGCTACTGAAAAGCAGCCTATAACTAGATCATTTAAGGTAAAGTCACACAGCTTTGTTTGAACAGAGGGGAAACCTGCTCCTCAGCCCAAAGTATTCTCAGTCCAAAGTATTGAGAGGGGGGGAAGAGAGGAAGAGAGGAAGGGAGGAAGGGAGGAAGGAAGGAAGTTATTTCACTAACAAAACAAAACAGGGCTGGAGATTTTAGCTCAGTGGTTCTGCTCTCTGCTTTGCAAGCACAAGGACCCGAGTTTGATCACCGTTACCATAAAAAACCAAACCAAACAACAAAAAAAGGTACCCCCTCACCAGTGATGAAATTCAGGACCTTGAGCTTGCCAGGCAGATACATGAGGCACCACTGAGCTACATATCTGGCTCATGAAGTATTCTTGTCATGTGAAAAAAGCGACTACACAATTCTAGCACCAGCTGCAGCATGTGAGGAATACATTTAACCACATACCTGACTCTAAACTAAGGTTTATTTAACCAGATGAGCATAAAAGCTTGACTTGGCACTTAAATCCTCAAGTACAGAAACATTCAGAAAGCATTAATCAGACCACGCAAAGATGATTGTTCTTTTCAGTAATGAGGACTGAACCTAGGGTTTTCATACTGAGCTACGCTATCGGACCTTCAGACATTCTTTAAATTTTTAGGCTTTTGTTTTGGGTACCGAGGATCATAAATTTTTAGTTTTTGAGACAAGGTCTCACTAATTAATCTAGGCTGGGCTCGAATTTGTGGTCCTTCTGCCTCAGTCTCCTAGAATTCAGGGGCACCACTCCATCCAGATCAAATATCTGACACAACTCCAGAGACTAGGTAAACCTACCTAGGAAGACGGCAAAACCATCTGGTGGGGTGGACAGACAGATGAACCTGATTATATATATTCGGACTGCTACCAACAGCTGAGAAATCAACAGAAAGGGTTAAAAACAACTGACCACTTCAGTTACACCAGGCACAAGAGGGAACTTCACCTTGGAAACCAAGTTTGTGAGCTGGTAATTTAAAGGGGAAAAATGTACTCTATCTTTGCCAGTATAAACTGTTTCTTTAGAGTAAGAAAAGCAGTAGCGGGCCAGGGATTTAGCTCAGTGTTTCCACCAGCTGCTTCGCAAGCGCAAGGTCCTGAGTTCAATCCCCGATGCAAAGAAAAGCAAGGCAAAGCAAAGCGGTAGCATTAATAAGAGCTGGGCTATCTGGAAAACACAGTGAAATGGTTTTCCTGCTCAATTGAAAACAGTGAATTCTTGACACCTGCAGGTGTGGTCACCTCTCCCTTGTTTTCTGTTTCTGCTGAGGTAAAGCTGCCCAGACCATTGACAAGCGGAGAGCTAAAGACACAAACTTCTCTCTCCCTGTGTCTTCTAAGTACTTCTTCCCCTTTCTCTAAGCACTGCGACTTCAACATTTTTTTTCAAATTAAAAACTGACAGATTTCCTTCAAGTTTCAAATCCTGTCAATGAGCACTGATTACACCCCTAGCTACTAATAAGGTCACAGTATAATCAGTCTTGAACCCCAGCCCAAGCACCTGTCCTTCCCAAATGTACTCTTAACAACTGGCACAAACCACGTGCTCTGATGTAGTTTAACTCTAACATTTCTGAGATCTCTGCACAAAAATAAAGCATGGGGAGAGACACGGATTTAGCTCAGTGGTACTGCTGCCTGCTTCACAAGTACAAGGTACCAAGTTCGATCCCTGGTACCAAAATTAAAAATAAAGCATGGCCACACCTGCAAACCCAACATTCAGGAGGCTGAGGCAGATGGATCACCCGTAAGTTTGAGGTTAGCCTGGGGCACGTAGTTCAAGACGAGCCAGAACCATACAGCAGCAAGACCCTGTCTCAAAGGGGGGGGGGGGCCGCAAGGATTTAGCTCAGTGGTTAACAACGCCTGCCTGGCAAGTGCAAGGTCCTCAGTTCTATCCCTGGGACAAAAAACAAAAGAAACAAAAATAAAGCTTGGCGGTCAGGGACACTTCATTTTATACAAATGACCCTGGCGCTCATGGATTCCTGATAAAAGCTTCTTTCTTCCTGAGGAAAAAAAAACCACCACAGATGCAACATGACTGCACCGGAACACTGGCAACGCCACCCATCCTGTGCTATCAGGGCCAGATGGCCAAGTACAGAACAGAGGCTGCGAGGCTGTGGAATGAGACCGACACTGGAGGAGACCCGGGTGGGTCCACCATGCACTTCCCAGGGTGCTGCAGTGTCCAGATTCATTTCCTAAGTTACAGCCCTGACTCTAGTTATCAAAATGTGCAGACAACTCCACTCTGCTCACCACAAGAGCAAATATAGAAATGAGGTTAAGAACCCAAAATGGAGGTAATTAAGTAAATATATGAGGCTCATCCCTGTAACACGGTTAGGGTTGGTGTGCTTGCCTGGTATGCATGAGAACCAGGGCTCGATCCCTAACACCTCACCCCCCACACATGTGTTTTTAAAAGGATAAAAGTGAACCACAGGTTTTAAAGGAATAGTCTATGGCCAAATCACCCTAAATGTGCCCAATCTCGACTGAAACTAAGCAGGGTCAGGCCTGGATAGTACTTGGATAGGAGACATATACAGTGAAGGTTTTCAAAACTGCCCTTCCACCGGCTGTGCCCAGCACTGCCCCTCTAGAGGAACTGGAATGCAGGTCCTAACAACCCGATGTGACAGCTTCAACAGCCACTGGTGCCATAAAAATGGTCTGACAGTAATGTAAACCCCCACTACCACCATGGACACCAGAAGGGACCTCAGAAACCAGAACTAGACCTCTCACAAGACCCTGTGTGCAAAGCAACTCCTAGAGGCCTGCACCACATTTATGGTGAGCCTTTCCCTGAAGCCAAGACCAGAATAAGCCTAAATGCCAGGGAATGGATGAAGGCGTTAAGAAAATGTGGCACACATATGGAGTCATTTACTCAGCTGTAAAGAACGATGACATGTCATCTGCAGAAATGGATAGAGCCAAAAAGCCACCAACTTAGGTGAAATCGGGCTGGGTAGCTCAGTGGTTCTACTGCCTGCCTCACAAGTGCAAGGTTCTGAGTTCAATTCCTGGTACAAAACACACACACACACACACACACACACCAAACAAACTTAGGTGAAATAGACCAGATTGAGCAACATAAATATCGTGTTTTTGTCTGGTGTGTGGAATCTTAAAAGATGACATATTTCGGGGTGTGGTGGTACACGCCCGTAATTCCAGCACTCGGGAGACTGAGGCAGGAGGACTGCTGAGTTTGAGGCCAGTCTAAATTACAGGAGACCATGTCTCAAAAAACCTAAATAAATAATTGAAAGATGACATGCAAAAAAGGGGGACTATTACAGGAGAAATTATCTGGGAGGTTAAGGGGGAGATGGAGATGATAAAACATACATACGTAGGTAACACCACACTCAACTCCAGTAGTACACTAAAATTACTAAGCACTAACAAAATAGATTAAAAACAAACCAAGAGAATGTTCTCAAAGGTTACTAGCAAAAGTTCCCCAGGCATCCAGGACCCAGCTACCCTGAGGCTGAGGGAGAAAAGTGCCCAAGTTCAAGGCCAGCCTAGGAAATTTAAGACCTTGTACAAAACAAAAAAAGGCTTTGAAATGCTGAGTTCCTAAGTCAGCATTTGAATTCTCCGGAAATACTGTGATTAAGTGTTCAGCATTCCTTCTTATGCTTAGTCAAGGAAACTGACATCCTCGCCCTCCAGTCCTGCTCCCATGGTACTGCACTTACTGAAGAAATCACCAGACTGGCAGACTGGGGAGGTGGGGGGGAGTCTTCTTGCTCCCATTCAGAGAGCATCACTGCTTAGCCCCTGACCTAGACCTGGGCTAGGTGACATCCTGCCTGAGAGGCCATCATTGTTACCAAATCATTGGGGAAGGGCAGGCCTTATGTTGCGTTCTACCAGTCTCTCAGATCCCACACAAATCAATGGGGACAATCCAATTTAGACCCATCTCTACTCTTGCACAATGGAATTTCCATTGGCTAAATGACTCTTTAGATTTCCTTAGAAACCACTGCATCCAGTATCCCATGCTTACGACTCTCTGCTCCCAACAAAACCATTTACCAGAGCAATCGCAACCCTTGACAATAAGGAATGTGGTCAACCCCTCACAGGAGAAGCAAGGGGGAAGCAGCACTGCTTCACATAGCCAAGTTTTAGCTGTCCGCAGAACTCCACGTTTTGGGGAAGTCAGAGCACTTCCGGTTGGGCACCAAGCAACTGCCAGAACTGCTAGCTGCTGAGGGTTTGAGCGCTCAATCCGGATCCAAATCTCACTTCTGAGCTATTCAGCAGTAAAGCTCCCTCTTGCAGAGGACTTCATGGCTCACAGATGGCAAAGGATACCTGCATGACTGACCAGACAATACAAAAGCTAAGGTTCTGCAATTCAAGAACCCTAACGCTGGCTTAGCTGGTGCCACACAACTGAGATGACACAAAAGTTCCACAGGAACCAGTACCTAGACTGTGGCTAGTAAGGATACTTTAACCACCCTGAACACAATGTTATAAAAAGTTGGATATGTTAGTCCCCTTCCCCAGATCCCCCTTTATGATCAAGGGTTGGTATTAAAAGGTTAAAGTGGGTGGCCAGGGATTTAGCTCAGTGGTTCTGCCACCTGCTTTGGAAGAACAAGGTCTTGAGTTTGATTCCCAGTACAAAAAAAAATAAAGGTTAAGATGGGGCTGGGTATGTGGCTCAGTAGTACTGAGCCTGCCTGGCAAGTACAAAGTCCCAAGTTCAGTTTCCAGTATGAAGAGGAAAAGCGGGGGGGGGGGGGGGGGGGCAG